TTGGCAACATTGGCGTTCGTGTTCATTGTTTACATTTTAATTTGTATCAATTACAATTAGAGTTTTTTGTTACTTTTTAGCTTTAAATTTGTTTATTTCTTATAGTATGTGATAGTATTTAAATTAAAAATGAAATCTGCGAAAAAGCCTCCAGAAAATTGCAATCTGTATGGTGTTATTGTCAAAATCAAAACTGGAGTATCCATTATTTTTCAAGTGCAAGTCATAAAATTCTGTTTCTTACGATAAATGGGTATCTACAAATTCACAATATTGAAATTTTGCAAAACGCTGTTTAGAATCAAACTCCAATATGAGTTGTGACGGTTTTATTACCATTTACATGTATACAATGTACTACACAATTCACTTCATGATATAAGAATAAGGATAGTAAGATTTTTAAAGAAGTTCATCAATAATAAACGTTTGGTACCTGATATATCCTTTAAACCACATAATAAAACATGTCCTGGGTTTAGTAAATACATATTTCTAGATGTTCTTGTAGCAACCAATAGGTCAATATTTCCAACAAATTAGTTCGTACTACACATGAAAAATTACATTTATAACGAAAGCACGATAACTAAACTTAAATTAAGACTAAATGAAACTCAAAAACACTATTATAATAAGAATATTATCTAAAAACAGTTAAAAAATCACAAATACAAAATCCCACAACACGTAAATAAACAAACATCCTACTTATACGTGACAAATGACAGGCGCGCGAAAATTAATTTGAATCGCGAATAGGCTAAAAGTATTATTATTATTTTTCAAATAACAGTAAACTTGTATTGAAATGACATATCTATTATAAAGACAAAGATTTTCACTTTTTTAATGTATTTAGGTCAGTGTAAAATATTATTTAGTGGTAATGTTGTAGTTGAAGGGTCTGGAATTGCGCCAGTCCGCACCATTGCTGTTCTGTCAGTTGGAATCGTTACATAGTTGCCAGGTTATATTTAATTATTTGGAACCAGGGAATAAGCAGATTGAAATAACTATTTTACTTTTAATCATCTATTTACCAATTTTTACATCGATTAAAAATCCCATAAAAATAAAAAAAGATTAAAAAATATTTTCAAGTAATACGCGTTATTTTTAGTGTCAATAATACCTTTCAATAGTGATAATTAATTACAAAATTTAAATTTAAAATCTATCAAAACTGTCTTATGAAACAAAACAGAATTGTTATTTCAAAATATAATATAAATCTTTATATTTATTTATCATACATTTTAATTTACAGAGGTTACAATTTGTCTAAATAATAAACTATGAAATAAAGCAAGCTAAAATGAAAGTGGAGATTTGGCAACGTGGCTTGAGCAAATTCAAATTCTAGACGTCAGTGCAGAGTGGTGTGAATATGCGCATTTCTAGACCCGTCAACTACAACATTACCCCCATTTTTTGATGGAACCTAGTCATTCGGTCATTACTTTTACATAATGTATAAATAAGAAATCGAATATTCTCTTTTATATCTTTCTACGAGAGTACGTCACTGGAAAACGAAAACACTTGTCCACGCATTCGATCATGATCGAATGTCCCCGCCATGTTCCTTGAGTTCCTTGTTCCTTTAGATCACTGTGTCAAGTGTTAAACAAAGAAGTAGAGAGGGTAGAACGATAAGGTACCGTCTGCGCATCCATCACGAGTGTAGAAATTATGCGTGATTCAGCCTTCCACTCTTACACACGTAAATGACAAGGAGAGGTTGCCCTAAAGCACTGTAAACAAATTCCAGGATCGACTTTATTCAGCGATTATGTTCATGTTCAGCTCTGTTTTTTGTTTGTGTTTTGGCTGTTGTAAGCTTTTTTGGCGTCAATTCTTTGTTATCTTGATTATATTTATGATTTTTTATGCTTTTATTCCGATTTAGTATTAAATTATACTTGTTAATTATTTTTCGATGCACTATTTTATAATTGTTGCACAAAATGTTGTTAAACCGTCCCTGAATTTTGTTTACAAAAGGTTCTTTCGTTCGTCCCACTGGTGTAGTTGGGTGTAGTAATGAACTACACCAACCCACACCCATACCTTTCGTTTGGTCCGGTGTAAAACCCACTATACCTTCCTGTCGGCGATGTGGTGTACACTAGTGGATATTTTCTCCACCAGCTATTTAGCAGGAGTGAATTACACTCGACGATGTGTATAAGGAATAAGGAGGAAGTAAAGTAGGGTAAATAAGGTGGTGTAACTGGTGCAATTTACACTGGTGAACACTACACCAATAGCGAACGAAAGAACCTAAAATGTGCAAAACGAAATTGTGCATAGTGTCCAGAATTTTTCATTGACAGTTATCATTCTACCCCTCTCCACTTCATTGGTGTTAAACTAGTACATATGTGACCAGAAATACATCTTAATGAAAACTTAGTTGCATATCTCTTGGTCGTTTCACTTTTAATCGCACGCACATAATTTACCGATTATAAATGGAAAGGAAATAATACAAGGTCTGTTCCTTTGCATCCACAGTGTAGCACTGAGCTACGTCACTTCTGAAAATATCGTTCCATCCATACAATTTGTATAAATGGAACGATATTTTCAGAAGTGGTGTAGCTCAGTGCTACACTTTCGATGCAAAGGAAAAGACCTACAGTGTGTCTGATACTTGTATTCATTTTTGGCGGTTTTTTTGAACTTGATGTGTATTTTATGCATATAATACAATTCACTAGGTAACTTCAAAAATTTAAAATGGTGATCTCCACGAGTTCCACACTTTACGACGCAGCAAATGTGTTTTAAAACAATAATTTAATACTAGTACTTTTTGTTATTGAAAATACACACCCAGACAACACACCAAATCCCAGAGATATCCACAGAATATCTATTGTGGATATCCAATATATCCACAGGATATCAGAAATATTCCGTGGATCTAATATGGATATCCAAATGTCCGTCTATATCCAGAATATAGAAGATATCCTATGGATTATCCAGCAAAATATCTAATGGGTATCTTCTAGAAAATACAAGAAATCCCATAGATATTTTGTGGATGGCCAATATGGATATCCAACTAAATGTCCGTCTATATCCCAGGATATAGAAGAATTCGGATATTCAGCAAAATAATTTATGGGTATCTTTATGCTGCGTTTGAGAATCCACATCGGATGCATCTGAGATGTAAAAAATCTTTGATCACGTGATTCAGTATATGTAAATGTAATGGGACAGATGTGTCCGATGTGGATAAAAAAACGCTCGAGATGTAAAAAATGCATCCGATGTGGATTCTCAAACGCGGCATTAGTAGAGGTTCATATAAGTAACCAATGATTATTGAATAACGTCGAAAGAAAATAGCAGAGATAAAAAATATTTTCAACACTCAAAATATTTTCAACACTCTGCCTTTGATTTTGCCCACTAAGGAGAAAGTCATCCTTATTAGGACTCTTCAGCAATAAATGGAAATTCTCGACTCCAGTTTCTAATGGAGTCTGATTGGGAAATAAATTTCGATCGAACTCAATCACGGCGGGTTGAGAATGAGTAGAAGCGAAAGTGGTATCGCCATCTATACTTAGTAAGCAAAATCAAAAATTACATCTAGTGGATATCCACGATGGTTTTCGTTCGCGCCTAGACTTTGATTATTTAGTAGATGTCCGTGGTATATTGAATACACCTTAAAAAAATTAATTTTAAATATCTGAACGGTACTATTAGCCACAATGGCGTAATTTTTTAATAATTTGCTATATAATTACTAATATTTATGGACATTTGCATGTCTATAAATTACATCTCATGGATATAAAATAGATATCCACCATGGACTGGACATTCAGTGGATATTGGGATGTTCAGTAGATATCCAAAGAATTTGGTGTGCTGTCTGGGCAACAGTCACCTATAAAAAAATAATCGCAATATAAACAATAATCAGAAAACAAGTACGTTTAACAGGCATATGGCATATATATGTCGCAGGCTTATTATAAAATCAGTCTTATTACAATACGTCTAGGCTTTTTCAATACGACTAGGCAAATCATAATACTACTCAACTAATTAAGAATCTCACAATTTGACTAATAATTTTAGGCGTATTATAATAAGCCTGCCGCTTGTTAGTCTTATTGTTAAATTGAACCGACGCGCATGTGTTTTAGAATCCGACTAGATTTAATCCGTCATATTATAATACGACTGACGATGTGCCAGGCGAATTGCAATCATCATTGTTGTTGAGTTGAGTAGATGTTTTAATTTTTTTGTACCTACCTAATATTTGTGCAAAATATTAATTATATTTAAAATGAGGGATTTAAAAAGTGTTCTTGCAAGCCAAGCAAGACACAGTGTCATAGCATTAAATGTTTATGTTTTAAAGCTCGTATGAAATGTACTAGCAAATGTCCTAAAAGCGGACCATGCGGTAATAAATAATCCTAATCTATTTTTTTTGTATGTCATGAGCATTAACTACTAAGCTTATTAGCCTCGTGTTCTGTGTAAGCTTTGTTACTGTTTCCCAGCGCCACTTTAGGAACAGCACTGTCAATTAGAACCCAACAGTGAATGGTCAAGTGGGATCTTAATCTATTATTTGTATTTTTATTTTAAATAGTTTACAATGTTTAAAATCGAGTATAGTTCGCATGGCACATAGTTGTGCGTCAGTCGTATTATAAACACGATTCGCCTGGCACATCGTCAGTCGTATTATAATACGACGGATTTCATCTAGTCGGATTCTAAAATACTTGCGCATTTATTCAATTTAACAATAAGACTAAGAATCGACATCAGGCTTGTTATAATACGCCTGAAATGATCAGTCAAATTGTGAGATTCTTAATTATTTGGGTAGTATTATAATATGCCTAGTGGTATTGAAAAAGCCTAGGCGTATTATAATAAGACTGATTTTACCATAAGCCTGCTACATATACATCTCCAGAGCCAACTTGGCTCAGCCAAGTACATAATATATCGATTGTTTAAAATTTTAAATTTATTCTGGTTCTGTTGTTTCGAGAAATGACATGTTGACATTGTTGACAGGTTCTTCTTTACCGTTCTGTGTTCTTTGAGGTTAAGTTTTTAATCATAAATGTGATTATTGTAAACACGTGTATTTTTTCTCAAAAATAAATCTTTTTGAATAAAATAAAAGTTCAAAATGCAAGACGACGACGTAACGTGGAGTATTATCAACAAATCATTTTGTTCTTATAAGTCTCAGACAAAAGGACAAAAATTCTGCCGAAACGAATATAACCTCACAGGTCTCTGCAACCGATCATCTTGTCCGCTAGCGAACAGTCAGTATGCAACAGTGAGGGAAGAAAATGGCATAATATACTTGTTTATGAAAACAGCTGAAAGGTCTGCATTTCCTAGAAAAACTTGGGAAAAGGTCAAATTGTCCAGAAACTTTGAAAAAGCTATACATCAAGTTAATGAAAATTTATTATACTGGCCAGGATTTATAAAGTCAAAATGCAAGCAGAGGTTTGTAAAAATAACGCAGTATCTGATAAGAATGCGAAATTTAAAACTGAGAAGGCAGAAGTTGATAGTACCAATTCAAAGTAAGGTAGAAAGAAGAGAACGAAGAAGAGAAGAAAAAGCTTTAATAGCAGCAAGAATAGAAAAAGGTGTTGAAAAAACCTTATTGGATAGGCTTAAACAAGGTGTATATCAAGATTTATATAATATTTCACCTCAGACATTTGAAGATGCTGAACAAGAGAAAGAATTAGAATCGGAAGAAGAAATAGAGCAAGAAATCGAAATGGAAATCGAAGAAGAAGGACCAGAATTTATAGCTGCTGAATCAGCTGATGAAGATAGTGATTTAGAAAGTAATAGTGGGAATCCACAATCAGTTGATCTAGACAGTAGTTTTGAATCATCAGGTGAATCAGACATTGAAGATTTAGCACCAACCTCATCTAAAAAAAGTAAAACACCTAAAAAGGACAAATTTGGATCTGCTAAGAAAGGACCCAGAGTGGAGATAGAATATGAAACTGAAAGAGAAGCTCCCCAAAGACAGAGTGTTCATTAAACAAAATAAATAACTTGTAAATTATTTTTTAAATATATTTAACAATGTCATATAGGTTTTTCACTAATTTTAGGTTGTGTACTTATCTATTTTTAATCTAATTTATAATGGGTGTTAGGGAAGGAGTGTAATGCCTACATAGTTTTTAAAAGTAATTGTGGATACAAATTAAGCAAGAAAGCCTTTTATAGTACGGGTGTGAAGTTATCCACATCCACAAATGTACACTGAGAAAAATATAACTCTATCGTAATACTAGTAATAATATAACTTGGTGCAAATTACCTGTAGAGGCTTTTCATTTGTAGATTTCAATTGGGGAGGTTTCAATACACAGCAACCATACCCGCAATTAACTTTTGCTTTGTCTCAGGGGGTGAAATTTAAAAAAAAAAAATCATAGAAGCCACAAATGGCTTTGTACACCTTTCTGCTTGGGATATGTTATGTAGTTTACTCTTTTCTTCATCCCTGATACCATGCTCGAGTTTGTCGAGCCGTCTGAGGGGGTGAAATAAAAAAAATCATAGAAGCCACAAATGGCTTTGTACACCTTTCTGCAAGCGATATGTTATGTAGTTTGCTCTTTTCTGCATCCCAGATACCATGCTGGACTTTGTCAAGTCGTCTGAGGCAGTGCAATTGGGGATGAAATTTAAAAAAAAAATCATAGACGCCACATATGGATTTGTACACCTTTCTGCTTGCGATATGTTATGTAATTTGCTCTTTTCTTTCTCCCAGATACCATGCTGGAGTTTGTCGAGCCGTCTGAGGGGGTGCAATTGGGGATGAAATTAAAAAAAAATCACAGAAGCCACAAATGGCTTTGTACACCTTTTTACGTGATATATGTTATGAAGATAGCTATTTTCTTTATGTCTGATACCATGCTGGAGTGTCGAGCCGTCTGAGGGGGTGCAATTGGGGGTGAAATTAAACAAAAAATCATAGAAGCCACAACTGGCTTTGTACACCTTTCTGCTTGGGATATGTTATGTAGTTTGCTCTTTTCTTCATCACTGATAGCATGCTGGAGTTTATCGAGCCGTCTGAGGGGGTGCAATTGGGGATGAAATAAAAAAAAATCACAGAAGCCACAAATAGCTTTGTACACATTTCTGCTTGCGATATGTTATCTAGTTGGCTCTTTTCTTCATCCCAGATACCGTGTTGGAGTTTGTCGAGCCGTCTGAGGGGGTGCAATTGGGGGTGAAATAAAAAAAATAAAGAAGCCACAAATGGCTTTGTACACCTTTCTGCATGCGCTATGATATGTAGTTTGCCCCTTGCTTCGTTCCAGATACCATGCTGGAGTTTGTCGAGCCGTCTGAGGGGGTGCAATTGGGGGTCAAATTAAACAACAAATCATAGAAGCCACAACTGGCTTTGTACACCTTTCTGCTTGGGATATGTTATGTAGTTTACTCTTTTCTTCATCCCTGATAGCATGCTGGAGTTTGTCGAGCTCTCTAAGGGGTGCAATTGGGGGTGAAATTAAACAAAAAATCATAGAAGCCACAACTGGCTTTGTACACCTTTCTGCTTGGGATATGTTATGTAGTTTGCTCTTTTCTTCATCCCTGATAGCATGCTGGAGTTTGTCGATGAGCCGTCTGAGGGGGTGCAATTGGGGGTGAAATAAAAAAAATTAAAGAAGCCACAAATGGCTTTGTACACCTTTCTGCATGCGATATGTAGTTTGCCCCTTTCTTCATTCCAGATACCATGCTGGAGTTTGTCGAGCCGTCTGAGGGGGTGCAATTGGGGATGAAATTAAAAAAAAATCACAAAAGCCACAAATGATTTTTTTGTTTAATTTCACCTCCAATTGCACCCCCTCAGACGGCTCGACAAACTCCAGCATGGTATCAGGCATAAAGAAAATAGCTATCTTCATAACATACCTCAAGTAAAAAGGTGTACAAAGCCATTTGTGGCTTCTATGGTTTTTTTTATTTCACCCCCAATTGCACCCCCTCAGACGGCTCGACAAACTCCAGCATGGTATCTGGAATGAAGAAAGGGGCAAACTACATATCGCATGCAGAAAGGTGTACAAAGCCATTTGTGGCTTCTTTAATTTTTTTTATTTCACCCCCAATTGCACCCCCTCAGACGGCTCGACAAACTCCAGCATGCTATCAGGGATGAAGAAAAGAGCAAACTACATAACATATCCCAAGCAGAAAGGTGTACAAAGCCATTTGTGGCATCTATGATTTTTTGTTTAATTTCACCCCCAATTGCACCCCCTCAGATGACCCGACAAACTCCAGCATGGTATCAGGCATAAAGGAAATAGCTATCTTCATAACATATCTCAAGTAAAAAGGTGTACAAAGCCATTTGTGGCTTCTGTGATTTTTTTTAAATTTCATCCCCAATTGCACCCTCTCAGACGGCTCGACAAACTCCAGCATGCTATCAGGGATGAAGAAAAGAGCAAACTACATAACATATCCCAAGCAGAAAGGTGTAAAAAGCCATTTGTGGCTTCTGTGATTTTTTGTTTAATTTCACCCCCAATTGCACCCCCTCAGACGGCCCGACAAACTCCAACACGGTATCTGGGATGAAGAAAAGAGCCAACTAGATAACATATCGCAAGCAGAAATGTGTACAAAGCCATTTGTAGCTTCTATGTTTTTTTTTTTAAATTTCACCCCAATTGCACCCCCTGAGACAAAGCAAAAGTTAATTGCGGGTATTGTTGCTGTGTATTGAAACCTCCCCAATTGAAATCTACAAATGAAAAGCTTCTACAGGTAATTTGAACCAAGTTATATGACTATTACGATAGAGTTATATTTTTTTCAGTGTACATTTGTGGATGTGGATAACTTCACACCCGTTTTATAGTTGGGTACTAAAATCAACTGTTTGACATATGCTCCCATTTTGTGAAAAACTTTTAGTAGTTGTGTACAACCAAATCATGGATTTTATAACTTTAAATAAAATAATATGCAGTCATCAAAGGGGCTTTAGGAAAGCACATTTTTGTGAGTCCGCTTTTTAATTAGTTGCTTCAGATATGAAAAATATTCTTGATAAACTAGGAGTTAGTATCTGCACAGTTTTTATTGATCTTAAATGTGCATTTGAAATGATTGACTTTAACATTTTACTTCAAAAATTTAAAAAAATGGATTTAGGTAAACTGTCTATGATTGGCTGTATAACTTATTAAATAGATATCAAGTAACTAAAATTAATAATGAGGTATCAAATCCAAAATTAAATACTTTTGTGGTGCTGCAGGGAAGCGTGATTGGACCCTTACTATTCATACTTTATATAAATGATGGAACAGGTTCTTAAAAAATGTAATATGTGGATGATTTTGCTAAAGACTCAACCATGAATTGGGGTTATTAACATCTAAATTCAAACAAAATAATTTTATAGTTAATGAGATGAAATCAAAATTTATGTTCATTGGTAACAACTTTCTATACAATAGATTTTTGAATTTTAATTTATATATTAAAATAACGATACAGAAATGTCCAAGAAATAAAGTAGGTATTTAGGAGTTATGTTGGATAGAGAACTAAAATTTAATAAACACATTGAGTATATCTGGAAAAAATAGAATTTTTATGAAAAGTGTCACTGTATCAATTTCAACTAAACTGTATATAATACACTTATTCTACCCCATTTTTACTATTGCTGCTCTTTAATATATACAGTATGTTCCAATTTTGATAGACTACAGGTCCTACAAAGTGATGCGAGTGATACTAGATTGTAACAGATATACCTGTATAGGTACCTATTCAGTTATTTCTAGAAGCCTTAAATTGGCTAAGTATTGAAAAACTGCTGTATGTATGAACAATGGTTTTTATATTCAAAATAATAAACAATTTGTTGCCTGAATATCTTAACTGTCAACTAATCCTGGTCACAGAAATACATAAAAGAAACACAAGAGCAGAACTATCAAATTTTATATAATAATTTATTCACAAAAGGTACAATTTATAATATACTTACATATAAAAAAACTACAGTGAATAAATAAAAAACTCCACAGGAGGCAGGGCCTGTACGTAGACTGTAGAGTATAAAATTATAAAAACTTATATTTAAATTCAATTTAAATAGAAAGGTTGATAACTAAAAAACTAACACTAAAGAACATAATAAAACTATAATGCTCGATAGAAAGTATTATTAAATCGTGAGATGTTGAGGAGGATCTTAGAATAAGACACCAAAAAGTATTAAAAATTGATTCTTCTATTTTTTTTATATTATTCAGTAATTTCACTGGTCTTCTGACATAGGCGCCGAATTCCCGGAGCTCTGGGTGCAAGCACAACGAGGACAAAAAGTGTCAATAAGTGAAATGAAGAAGCTGTCGTAGCCCAAGTTGGTATAGCCACAGATGCCTAAATAAAATATTTCCGTTCGTAGCTGTATTTTTTGTGATAAAAAAGTCGCTGTGACTTTGTCATAGACAACGCGTTGAGCTTGGACTTAAGGGTTTATTGTGTATAAAACCCTATGACGTCAAAAAGAAAGATTAATAACGTTCTACAATTATCAAGACAAGATGTTTGTACATATGCCATTGAGCAAATGTTTGAGGGGAAAAGGGAGAACATTTGAAAGTTGCTCCCGATCAAACACCGTTAGAAACAGCTCTTTAGTATTGCTGACGAGAAACCAGGTCATCTACTAAAAAACGCTTGGATCTATCAATTTTGTTTTTAGGGGTAAACATTGTTTTCATGGAGGAAGGATTGTTTTGGCAGTTTCACCACCTGAGCGGGGGGTGAGACTCACCAGTTAAGGGGTCTATTCTGTAACTATAGTTGTTATCTGGCAACTTTCTAACCACTTAATTGCTATCTTACCACTTTCATAGCAACTGTATATAACAACTTTGACAAAAGTAGCTATTCTAGTATTCACGATTTCTAAATTAGTCTATGCTGTGTCATACAGTCATGATACTGACCAAGTTGCTATGATCAAGGTTAGTTGTTGTATTACCACTTTGAGAACATCAGAATTCTCTAAGTAAAATCTGTAACAACTAAATATTCTTGATGGTTAAGCTAACAACTAGTTGCTAAGAAAGAAATATTATGGACCCTGGATAATAGATATTTTAATTGAACAAGAAATTAATGGAAGGTATATTTATTGATGGAATAATACATATCAGAACTAAATAAATATATTATTTTCTCTAATGGTTTGATTTAGAAAT